CTCAGTCTCTTATCGTCTTCTGTTACAGACACCCATGATGCCATCAGGGATCGAATAAATTATTACGACCAAAACCGACTTATTGTGGTCCGAACACCGAGAACCAATCTTCCAGTCCTACTGCACAGCTAATAAAACTTTCCTTAAGAGACCCAAACTTATAAAAATGTCTCAAAGACAGCAGAAGGATAATTAATCTTCGATTAGTTTATGTGAGGTTCTATTCAACAACAATGACCTCAACAGGGTTGTTAGGCAGCTTTACAGACAATGCAACATTTTGAGTACAAAACGGGTACTCTAAGAAAAAATTAGTTACTTTACAACCACTTTACAACTAACATGGTTAACAATAATAAAATAAAAGGCTTGACAATTACTCAGTTGAATAAAAAACAAAAGTACATACTAATGACCAATCATATTTGGATAGGTCATTTTGTCCATGGTAGGCGAATTCTGGCTTTGATATCCTCATCAGTTCCGTCAACCTGTAGTTGAAACGATGCTTCCCAGGTAGGTGGATAGGTAAAGGAGGTTGTTTCTTTCAGGTTCCTCCCATTCATCCTGGCTGATTGTTGTCTGTTGATATTGCTGTTGGTGTTGGCCAGGAATCGCCATCACCTCTGTTTTATCTATGTTCACCTGAAGTCCTATCTTCTCTGAATGCTTCTTCTGCCAACTTGTTGCTTTTCACTTGCATATCTTTCACTTTGTGGGAAGTCAGACATATATCGCATCGGCGAATTCCAGATACTCCAAGTTTTTATGTAGATCCGTTTTGTGCCTGTCTTCTGGCTGCCCGCCGCTGTCTGGTGCATTATCCAATCTACTGCAATCAGGAAAATCATTGGCGATAGTAAGCATCAAGCTAGCTTGTCTTACTCTCGCCTTTACTTCGAAGAATTCAGTAAGCTTCCCGTTGTACATTACATGGCATGCAGAATTGTCATACAACTTTTGGATGAGATGTATAATTTTCAGTGACACCCTGTAGTGGCGAAGTAGTTTCCAAATCACCTCTCGATCGACGCTGTCAAAGACCTTTTCAAAGTCGATGGAGTTGAGATAGAGAGATGACTTCCATTCCAAACTTTGTTCAATAATAATCCGTATTGTGGTAGTTTGACCAATATATGACTTATTTCTCCTGAATCCAGCCTGTTCCGGTCGAAGTTAGTAAGTTTGGTCTGTTATTCTTCTTAATACCGTTTCTTCGCGTTCTCAGGGGAACATATGGCGACAAGCGTTAGCTTTTAATGGATGAGGTTGCTAGCCTCACGCCCAACCTCCTCTTTTTGCCGAGATTGTAACTGGCTAGGAGAGGTAAAGGTGGTGTGAGCCGGCTAGGCTGCGAATCTCGGAAAACGTGTATGGTCTGCCAGTGCCCTACCGCTGATCTATTGTGATGTGTTTATTAATCTATGATTCATTTGAGTAACAGGCTTGTAGGAATTCCTTTAGGTGATTTTGGTATTTCTGTTGCTCGAAATTTCTACATTATCACAGTCAATTTTGTGTCCACAATTTGTATACATGTCTCGATAAAAATAAAATATGTCGTGCCATTTTTACACCTAATTTGCGTTCTTGGATTCTGACTCGAACATGATACCCATTTCGACTGATATAATGTTTATCGCAGTTTATGCAATTATACTGATCTTGTCCTCCTCTGCTGCCAGGTCCTTTGGTCTGCATTATATCGAATGAAGTGATTATTGTTTTTTTGTGTTTTTGATTTCTGTATAGCCCTTTTCAACTGGCCGCATAGTTGCACGTAGGCTGTCATCTTCTCCTCACACTCTCCAACCCACTATCTCTCAGCTCATTGTTTTTCATTCGGGTTGCATTGGAACGATGGATTGACACACTATGTCATCTAGCGGTCTTCTCAGCGTGCGTCTTCATCTCCTTCGCCATGTTCGTTGAGCAATACGTTCTTGATTGTCTATTTCGGCAGAGTTTCTTGTTGCCAAATTTTTCAAGGCTTCCGATTTGGTTTTCAGTGTAGAGCTGGCGAAGGAGATAACTAGCTGTTGGTTAAGTTCTGAAGCAGCCTGTTTGGAAATGCTTTTCAGAAACAGCAGGTCAGGCTAGATTGAATGCATAAACCTATGCCTAACAACATGGTTCCATCTCAACTGCCAAATATGTCAGCACGTCAAAGCAACACCCATGGGATCGCCAATATCAGGTTTGATTGCAGAAGCAGTGATTCGAAGGCTCGAGAAAATAATTCTACCAAAGATCAAACCCAAGATTTGGATATGCTACGTAGACGAAACATTTGTTGTAAACAAAAGAACCGAGATAGATAAAACTAACAACTTAATAAACAATGTCTTCAACGACATCATATTCACAAGAGAAGCGGAATCCGAGAACATAAACCCATTTTGGACGCCTTAGTCAAGCGAACGACCACAGGAGAATTAGAAACTCAAGTTTATAGGAAATCACCTCACACAGACCAAATCCTGAATTACAACAGCAACAATCCAACAACACACAGAATGAATTGCATACAAACATTATTGAAGAGAGCCATCCGGTCACGACTCATTTCACCACTCCCACCGTAAGGAAAATTGAAGAAAGATGTCTCATGGACGTCTTTCATCAATAGACATATGCCTTCAAGCCAACCTACCAAACCAAAGGCCCCCAAGGAAAGCACAAAGAAAATCGCCTTACAATACATAGAGAATGTCTCAGAAATCACTACAAGACTCTTAAAACCTTTAGGAATTGTCGTCGTACACAAACCAACAGAGTCACTTCACTCAGTTCTATGTCACCCAGAAGACTCAACAGCGAAGGAAGACAAAACCAACATCATCTACAAAACAAATTGTAACAACTACGAAAAGCACTACATTAGCCAAAGTGGATGCCACCCTCTTCGTCTTCGTATCCATGATCATAAGCTGGCTGTCATAATACATGACATCCACTACTTCATATAACTGCATGCATACAACCACGGGCATCAATTCGACTGAGACAACGTTCAGATATTAGACAGAGGAAACACCAAGAATGCTAGCCAGAGAATTTTTAGAAGCCCACCTGGTATTCCAGTGAATCATCATCAATCAATAGACACATAGAGATCGACGAAATTTATCAACCGATAAGAAAGAAACCTCACACACACACACAGAGGGTCAAAGTTCAAGTCAAGGAAACAATCAGTACCAATGAAAGCAGTTTAGAAGGTGTGAAAACACACAAAAGCAACCAATCATATCCAAGGTCACCAGGAGAGATGTTTAATAAACACGTGAAGAAATCTGAAAGCTCATTTCAAATTGAAGTATTCGCTGAAGATGTCGCCTAGTAAGACGAGCAGTGAAAGCTTAGCAAATTAACTCTCCAGCTCAGAGAACACAACCACATCAAAAAGAACAACTTCATGCTTTATAATAGATAATGCTGGATATCTATTTCCGTGATAATTTTGTTTTGTTCTTGAAACCCCTTTGGAGTATGTTCTGTATTCCTAACTTACAGACATCAATGGGTTATTCTCTATGTACACGTGTCCACGTGAATTCTCACACTTACTAGGTTGAATCCCTTACAGCAACCAAACAACAGGGACATAAATTTGATTTTTATGGTGCCTTTGCACCTATATATCAAACAACTATAGCTGACATACTTGAGTTTATCGAAGCCCTCATCACATAAAGGTTTTAACCTGTTTTGTTTGTTCTAAGGTTATTTATCATAATTCTGAACTCGCTTTGGTTATCTAGTTTTAGAACCCAAGTTCAATTTCTTAGACAATATTTTTGACCCATTTTATTACTATATTACATACCCTATTCTCCTAGTTCGTATCTGTGATCGTGACCTGTATTTATACAATTGTCAAGTTTCTATAGTTTTGGTTTGTAAGGATTAGTTATGTTTACGAGTTGATCACGCATTAACATAGAATCGGGTCCCAGTGGCTGAATGGTATACGAGCTTGCCTTGTAACCAGAAGGTCCTGGATTCGAATCCCAGTGGGTGCGTACTGCCGATGATTCCACAACTAGGATGAAACAGCAGCTGTCCATTACTCTTTGGTTTTCAATGGTTCTCTAACTGATATCAATCCGTGATCAACTCGTAAAACAATTGTCAAGAGTTACTTTGTAGGAATTTGATCTGTTTGAATTTTGTTCATGGATTTATATCAGTTAGGGTTGAGGACGAACAAGAGGAGGGATAGACAGGACTTTCCGTTTACAAAGTAGGCTCGTAGATCACTCAGCCATTTAGCTAAAATCATGAGTTAGCAGAACCAGAATTCATTCTCCGGTGAATCAGGTTTCATGGAATCGATTGTCTACGAGCTTACTTTGTAATGGAAAGGTCCTGAGTTCGAAATCCAGTGGATAGTGGTACTGATGAGTCTGGAACCAGGATAAAGTAACTTTCCAGTATTCTCTGCCTATCAGTGATTCTCCAACTTATGTCGATCCATGAAATATAAATTGTGATCCTTTATTCGCTGTTGCTTTCTATATAAATATACGTGTGACAAGTAGGTGTATGTGGCCAAAATGTGTGCAATCTCTTACGCCAGTAAATTACCTTAAATCCACGATTTTTATATAAGTTATCAATCTGCAAGGCACACGCTTCGAAGGATGAGCTCATCAGTGGAAACCATGTTTAAAATTCCACTCTCCAGACTGTGTGAATTGCAAATTGTGAATTCGGTACACCTTAACACCAGTTCACCCAAGTTTTTAGCCAGAAATCAGGTGTGGTTTCAACTTTTTCGACTTTCTGAACTCAGTTAAATCCAGGTACACAAATAATGGGTTTGATCTTAAAAGACAGAAACGTCCATCTGCTGTTTAGATCACCTTTATCAGAGTGTCTAGGAAGCACTACTATTGTTTAATGTGAGCAGTGTGGTATACAACTACTCATCTCAATTAATCAGTAGTATATAATTTTTTACTAAAATTTTCTTACTTTTCAGATGAATTACTTACCATCAGGTATCTCTTGAATCAGTTCATAAATAATTTGAAAATTCTCCTCCCTTTTTTCACCATCAGCTTTTGCCACAACCGTGAACAACTTTTGACCTACAACAAGATTTTCTCTTCGAAGAAGTAAACACACGGTTGATACTGCTTGAAAGTGGGTACTGTGCAATGCGGAAGGATAAACAAATTCCATCTTATGATGACTCTGTGATTCTTGTTCCCCACTGCTCACATATTGATCAGTAATCCATTGATCGTCTGAATAGATTCCTGAAAGTGTTGAGTGTGATATGCTGTTTGAATAATCATAATAATAATAGTAATCACAATTGACATCATTACGAATAAAATTGCCTAAAAGGTTTAAATAGGAAAATTTTAATTCCCCTTCTCTGTTGTCATTGATTTTTTCAACAATTTCAACGTGTACAGTTTGTTTGGTAGTCAACGATGGAGTTCCATGATCATGACATTGAATAAGAAGATAGAAGTCGGAGATCTTATCCGGATCAAAAAACTGTAAAATATAAAAGTGGAAGAATAAATAATAATGTTAAGATATAGCTTAAGGGTATAAATGAACGTGAACATTGAACGTTAGTTCATTGACCTTGGTAGCCATTGGCGGGCAACTCGAAGGCGCAAATGGTTCAATAGTGTACAAGTTGGAAGAAGAAGGCGAAAGAATATGAATAAAATTACAGTACATTCCTTGTAAAACATTTCTATTTAGACTTTGCATTAATATCCATTTAAGTGCCGAAAAATAAAACAAGTCCTCGTGTTTTGGAGTTAAAGTCAATAATCGTACCTAGTAATTATCAATTCGAAGCGTCTTCACAAATAATAAGAACTTAGATTTAGGTTGCTTGAGGAGGATAATACAGAAATCATCATTTTATCTAGTGAAAAAGGGGTATGAAAGTTTATAAGAGAATCTTCCATTGGGAGGCAACTCCTCAACAGGCGCTTACATCAACTCTCTGTATCTCTCGCTTTATATTGGTTTCTCTTCTAAGGAGTCAGTTAGACTGAGTGCTTGCCATCGGATTTGCAGCCTACTTCAACACGACCTTAGTAAACAGCTGTGTGATGATGACACATGTCAGTTGACCCACAAGGGGAAACTCAATGACGCCTTTGAAGTGAAAACAGACAAGACTGCCCACTATCACCGAATGTATATCTTATTATGACCAACAGGAATACATTAAATCAATGGGGAAACTCTGGAGGATTGTTCATAGCTAATATCGCATTAATTTGAAGACTTAAAGCCAGTAGAGACAATACTTTAGGTGAACATAAGTCACTGTCAACGGAAACAATTTGTAGTAGTTGTCTTTAATCAATTGCCTATGCACTATCGTTTCAAAAACAGTCAGTTGGCAGTAGTGAAAACTAGAATCTTAAAGGCAAGACAGACCTTCAACGCCCTGAAATCAGTTAAGGAATATGCTCCACTCAGCATGAAAAGCTGAAATTCGGATTTCAAACAACAGTATTAGATCAGCTCTTCTATATAGGAGTACAATTCTAAAAGGCTCTTGGAAACACTTATAAACACCTGACTTTGTTAGTTCCATACTGAAGATTAAATGGCCGGTCACAAAAAGTTAGTAAGAAGAAGTTCTGAGAATCAGTCAGCCAAAACTCTATAGCTCAACAAATATTCAGCAAAAAAATGAAGATGGATTGGGCACACGCAGAGAAGACCGTTGGATGACATCACAGGCCAGGCCAGCATTGAAGTAAAATTCGAATGAGAGGCAACGAGATGAACGTTTATTTGAGGGGAGCTCGTGTAAGCAGAAGAGGGTGGCTCATGGACAGTCGTAAAGTCAGCTAAAGCACACTGTAAAGAACAGGAGAGAGTGGAGATGTTCTGTTGAAGATCTATGTTACATGTGAAATTCAAGGGAATAATCATAATAATCATTGAGATTTTGAACAACATCGAAGTCGATGTTAATAAGCCATTTTTGAGTTTTCTATCATATTTCACCTAAGGTTAATTTTGTCTTATGAGTTTATCTTGAACATTTTGTAGATGAGGCCATTCAAACCCACCTGAGAAAGCTAAACCTGTATATGTGTGTTCAGGAAAGGTCCGTAAAGACGAATTCTCTACTTCTGCCATCACTAATAGATTGTCAATTACTTCTTTCCCCTCTAAAGCTCTTTTCAAACTATTATTTTTTTAAAAATTTCATTAGTTGTTGCATGGATTTTATTCTTAATTATATCCGATGTTCAATTTAGTATCTGCCTACAAAACATCTTCAGCACACCTTTTTAATATGTAATCTGAACGTATCTGATTGGTTGTAAGTTTACATCTCTATTGATTATTTTTTTATCGACTTAGAATTTGAACTTTCTTCTCACATGGGGCTTATTACTTGTTGCTTGGTAAATTTGATCTAGATTAATATATTTTTGATGTGGTTTTGTTCTCTGAGCTGGATAGTTAGTTTGCGAAGCTTCCATCACCTTACTGGGTGACATCTTCAGCGCATACTTCAAATTGAAGTGAGCTTTTAGGTTTCTCCACGAGTTTATTAATCATTCCTCCTGGTGACCTTGAACGTGATTGGTTGTTTGTGTGTGTCCTCACACCTTCTAGGCTGCTACTTGTATTGGAACTGATTGTTTCTTTGACTTGAATTTTAACCCTTTGTGTGTGAAGTTTCTTTCTTATTGGTTGATAAATTTTGTCGATCTCTATGTGTCTATTGATTGATGATGATTCACTGGAATGCCAAGCTTCTAAAAATTCTCTAGCATTCTTGTTATTTCCTTTATCTAATATTTGAACGTTGTCCCAGTCGAATTGATGTCCGTGGTTGTCTGTGTGTAGTGAAATGAGGGAGTGTATATCATGTCTTTTGACGGCTAGCTTATGATCGTGGATACGAAGACGAAGGGGACGTCCACTTTGGCCAATGTAGTGTTTTTCACAGTTGTTACAGTTTATTTTGTAGATGATGTTGGTTTTGTCTTCTTTTGCTGTTGAGTCTTTTGGTTGACATAGAATTGAGTGCAGCGACTTTGTTGGTTTGTGTACGACGTCAATTCCTAAAGGTTTGAAGAGTCTTGTAGTGGTTTCTGAGATATCCTTTATATATGGTAAGGCGATTTTTTTTGTGTTTTCCTTGGTGGCTTTTGTTTTGGTAGGTTGGCTTGGGGGTAGATGTTTTTTGATGAAATTCCATGGATATCCATTCTTTTGGAAGACGTCCATGAGATACTTTTCTTCAATTTTTCTTAAGGTGGGAGTGCTGCAGTGAGTCCTTGCTCTCTTGAATAGTGTTTGTATGCAGTTCCTTTTGTGTGCTATTGGGTTGTTGCTGTTGTAATTCAGTTGTAATTCAGAAACAATCAGTTCCAACACAAGTAACCTAGAAGGTGTGAAAACATACATAAACAACCAATCACGTTCAAGGTCACCAGGAGGAATGATTAATAAACTCGTGGAGAAACCTAAAAGCTCACTTCAATTTGAAGTATGCGCTGAAGATGTCAACCAGTAAGGTGATGAAAGCTTCGCAAACTAACTATCCAGCTGCCCAGAGAACAAAACCACATCAAAATTATCCACCTGAGCTATAAATCTTCTCTATCATATCTAGATTAATATATTTATGTTAATGACTGATTCGTTAAAATAGCAGGCTGCTAGACAATCTTTGACTACATTTTGGTGTTTCCTTTGTTTAAAATCTATACATTTCCCAAATTTCTGAGTGTCTACACGCATCGATATGATTGAATACGTATTCGTTTACCTTAAAGCATATTTCCAATGGATTTTATCTAGGAGAACAATGAAAGCATGGGAATTCAATCATCGACCAGCTGAAAGAACACAACTAAATCAAAATCATTCAACTGAGCCGAAATCTTGATATAAGCATAAAACTTGGGCACTGTAGCGGTAGAGTATAACTCCATTATGGATGAGATTTTATTCTGATAAATTGTCACACAGTGGTGTTATACCGTAGTGATATTAACTGACGCGACCACGTTTCGAGCACAAATTATTGCCACTCATAATCATATCAAGTCACTCACTCACACAACTTCCTTCCTTCATTTCTATACATGTATGGAATTAACCATATATTTGAATAAAAATCAATATAAGATGGTAATGTACATTCAGAAATAATAATAATATGAGAGTTATTGATCAACTACAATCAGATGGGAAATAAGACGAGTGTTTTAACAGTAAAATAAATAAGTTACTTGTTAGAATGCTGTGATGTGCTTGAATTGAAATAGAATTTTAAGATTATTTATTGTCCTCCTCTGATTCGACTGACTGACTGGTGGTAATAATATCTTCCATACATATCTCTGGTATTTGCATTGAGTCATTTCTGTTGCATGTGTTGTATTGGGTGTAGACTCGATGAACTAGGATTCAGTAATTAACGTCTCTGTCCCTCCACGTACTTATATTACTTCTTAGAATTTTAACCCTCTGCCTTCCACCATGCTATTGTGTGATTGTGTGTTATTGCGCGCAGTACAGGCGCTGAGCTTTTTCTAAATCACTTATCTTCTCGGAGTCAACCATTCTTACCTAAGCTAAACTCATATGTTCTGATAATCTGACTGCCCCTACTCGATCGACTAGTTTGACCTATGTAGATGACCCCACTCACAGTCATTGCATGGTATTTTGTAAATTATATTATTTTGTTTAGTTGGATCAACCGGGTTCTTCACCCTTGTCTGTGAGTAAGTTTGTGGGTTTGAATGCCACCACTCTAATTCCTGCTTTATTAAGAATCCTACCGCGTAGGGTCATAGATGTCCCCTTTTTTATATGGTATAACTGTAGATGACTTATATTCTTTCTTATTTATGTTATTATTACTAGTTCCACAATTATTTTTATTTTGTTTTTGGCCTTTAATGATCTTCCTAATGAATTTTAAAGGATGGTTATTCAACACCAACGCTTCTTCTATCTGTTTTATTTCGTCATTTAAGTCTTTTCTTGTTCTACTTAGTGCTATGGCTCGGTTCGCTAGACACTTCACTAAGCCTGCCTTAACAGTTAAAGGATGAGAGGAATTAAAGTCTAGATATCTATTAGAATGCGTTGGTTTTCTATAAACACTATTTTGTAGTTCACCTTCTTCTATTCGTTTTATTCTACAATCTAACAAAACTAATTCTCCTTGTTCATTTTCTGATTCAAATGTGAATTTATTCCCTCTACTAGTTAGCCAAAATCTATTTTATTATTTCGAAATCTCTAATCATTGGATATAATACAGAAATAGTCGATACTGTCTTTGTCTGTACACACTAACTAGCATCATGCGCCCGGTCCTTTGTTTGCTGCTGACCGAATCCGATCAGAGAAGTTTTCAATGTAGCTACTGTGCCACTGTTGTTATTAGACAGTTGAAGTCAATCACCAGGAGGAAGCTCCAACTGACCTATTTTAGGTGTTAGTTGACACACGTCAGCAAGGTGGATCATCAATGTTGAGAG